TCAGACATTTGCCAAAATATATCAACCCATTACAGAGTGCTAGTTCTATTGGTAATGCCTTTTTAAATTCAATGGGGAGAGGAAGAAAATCTCAAATATTGCTCCAGTTGATGTATTTGTTCCTTCCTGCTAATTCAGATCCTTGAAGGCTGCAAATTCCCAATTGTTTCTTAAACCTCATTTTAGCCACAATATTTTATTGGTGACATGGTTTTTGAGAAATGTTCTTATAGTCAACACTGGCATTAAGCTTGGTACTTTCTGTTCTTTGAAATGCTCTTTCAACCTGATATCTGGCATAAAAAGTCCCTTCTGCAAAACTATACATACTCCAAATCACTTGCCTTGTTCATCGAAAGACAAAGCTACAGATTGTTGAGGGGTTATATAAGTAGAAAACTATAAATAGAAGCAAGGCAATGAGTAGTACAACATTAGTTTAGTAGTTATTGCTGTGTGGAGAACAAAGAGGATGTGATTTGGGAGGGACATATAAAGGCTTCCAAGATGCTGCTAACATTCTATTTCTCAATCATGCAACTACATCCTTATTTCCTTGTGCATAGTTTTATATGTAATTATACTTGAATAAAAGTGTGTTAAAAACAAATATAAATAAAATAAAAATAGCAGTCAGGGTATATCTATCCCTGAGGGATATAGAATAGTTTGGGAGAAATTTGACATCTGTATAGCAATTCTTAAATTCCAATTATATTGTACTGTTTCTGAACCTGATCTCTAATTGCTGAAAATATGTAAAATTAGGCTTGTCTTATTTCTTAATTCTTCTAAAATTTTAGTATTTCCCTGAAGATAATTTATTTGAACATACTTTGTTAATGTTTCAATTTTTTACTTTTATATCCGGGAATCTAAAATTATGTTAAAATTTAAGCAATTTCATTATAATAACAAAGGCAAAAAATGACAAATACTGTTAAGGATGTAGAGAAAGGGGAACTCTTATACATTGTTGGTGGGAACGTAAATTAGTAGGGCCACTATGGAAAACAGTATGGAGGCTCCTCAAAAAGATTAAAACAAGAACTACCATATGATCCAACAATCCCATTACTGAGTATATATCCAAAAGAAATGAGATCAGTATGTCAGAGATATCTGCACTTTCACATTTATACCAGCACTATTCACAATAACCAACGTACAGAATCACCTGAAGAGTCCATCAACAGATGAATGGGTTTAAAAAAATGTCATGTAAACTGTATATATAATGGAATACTATTCCCACATAAATGGACAAAACCGGTTATTTGTGATAACATGAGTGCACCCTGACATCATAATTTTGAGTGAAACTAGCCAGAAATAGAAAGAAATCCTCATGATTTCACTCATATGCAATCTTAAAAAGCTCAGCTCATAGAAGTAGAGAGCAAAAATAGTAGCTACCAGAGGCCAGATTGAGGGGGTAGGTAGAGACTGATTATTGGGTATAAAATCACAATCAGAAATGAGGCATATGAGTTCTGGTGTTCTATTATACAGAGAATGATTATAGTTAATAATGTATTTTCTAATTCAATATAGCCAGAAGAGAAGAATCAAATATTTTCATCACATTATGGTAGCCATCCTTTTTGGTGTGAGATAAAAATCTGTGTTTTAATTTGCATTTCTTGAATGGCCAGTGACAGTGAATATTTCTTCCACGTATTTACTAGCCATTTGTGCTTATTCTGAGAAGTGTCTTTTAATTTCAGATGCCCATTTTTCAATTGAATCTTTAAACTTGGTATATTCAAAGATATTAGTCCTTTAAGGAGTTGCTGGCAACATTTTTTTCCATTCTGTAAATGATCTCTTCCCTCTGTTAGTAGTTTCCTTTGTTGTGCAGAAGCATTTTAATATGACATAATTCCACTAGTTGATTACTGGCATTATTTCTTGTACAACCATGATTTTGTTTGGAAAGTCCTTCCCTACACCTATGTCTTCAAGAGTTTTACCTATTTTGTCTTCCAGCAGATTAACTGTTTCTGTTCTAATGTTTACATTTTTAATTCATTTTTATTTTAGTTTAATGAATGGTGTGAGATTCGGGTCTAAATTCAACTTTTGTCATTAGACAGTTTTCCCTGTAGAACTTGCTAGAGTCTGTCTTTCCTCCAATGAAGAAATTTGGTCCTTTTGTCAAAAAGAACCAATAAAAAATGCCAGCGAGGCTGTAGGGAGAAAGGAATCCTTCTCCATTCTTCGTGGGACTGAAAACTGATACAACTACTATGGAAATCAATATGAAGATTCCTTAAAAAAAAAACAGAAGTAAAAATTCCACAACTCAGCCATTCCCTTCTAGATACCTTCCCAGAAGAATCAAAGACATCATTTCACAGTGATGTATACATATCCACGCTTATAGCAGCATAATTCATAATAGGTAAATCTTGGAAACAGCCTTTATGTCCACCAACAGATCAATGGCTTTAAAAATTTGGTATTTATACCCAATAGAAGATAAACTTGAGTTATTTGTAGGAAAATGGATGTACCCTGAGATCACAATTTTAATGAAGCAATTCAAACACACAAGTTTAAATACAGAATAGTTTCTCTTATATGAAAAACTCAATATATATACATATATATTATGAAATAATAAAAAAAAGAAAAAGGCACTGTAATTCAGTGTGGACAATGGATCCAAAAGTGTATCTTGACTTAGTAAAATTGTCTTATATCTTTTATATGTTCTTTGGTCTATTATTCTGGTTTTAAGTCTGTATACACGATTAACCTTAAAGGTCTTATGAATAAATGAATCTGATGCTGGTAAAATAAAAGGGGAGAAGGGAGGGTAAAATTGGAATGTGTTATGCATATGTATCGATTTCATACAATAAATTTAATCACTATATACTGCAAGTATGTACTAAGAAAAGTAAAATAAATGAAATGCATAATTGGCATAAAAATATTTTCATCACAAAATGCTTATGATAACAGCTACCTAAATTCCTTGAGGTGATCAATAGACAATGTACAAAGGTACTAAAACATCACACTATCCCCCATAATTATCTACAGTTGTTATCTGTTAGTAAAAAATAAATTTCATAGTTTTCCACAGAAATAAATAGACATAGTTCTCCTCTTCAATAACTGATCTTCACACTTCTGCCAGAATACTTTCAGAGACACTCAGTTTCCAAATCATTGTTATTGTTATAAATTTCTTCCTTAGATGAACTAAAATCAGCTTCCCTGAAACTCTGATAATTGATTCAAGTTCCACACTCCAAAACAATATCGACTATGTTAAATTGTTTTTCTATATCTATGTTAAATCGTTAAATAGTAGAAAACAGCATTTAATAGAATAGCAATGGAAACAAGTTTTATCTAATTACTTGATCTTATTTTTTTCATATAAAGTGGAGTGAAATGATTTCTCTTGTTAGGTTAAGAAAGATATTAAGCATCAGAAACAAATTTACTTCCCTAGAGTAGGAGCTCAATAAATCATATCTCTCAGAAATTATGATTGAAGAAAATACATTTCCTCTTTGTCCTTCTTTCTCTACCAGGACCTTCCAATTACTTTAAACTACTCTTTTTGTGACATGCTCTCTAGACCTTTCACAGTTCTGAATCTCCCTTTCTTGCAAAGTCAGGGATCATACCTAGCTTGTTTATTTTACAAACAACTTCTAGGTGTTATATCTGCTCAAGGTCTAGCATAGTGACTGGCGCAAAGAAGTTAAATTCTCCAGATATCTTGTATGAGTTAAGGAAAGAATGAGAAATTTGTTATCAGTTATAATTAGTAGAAGTTTGTGATAATAAGCAACAGAATAGATATTCATAAAAGTAGGAACTGAGACAAAGTTTTAAACTAGAGCTTATTCTAAAAGGAATGAGATTATTTCATTTAATCATCATAAAAAGTCTTTTAGCCAAGTACTGTTAGTATTCTCTTTATTTATAAGGGAACTGGAAAAGCTTACTAAAAAACTAACATCGCATTTATAGTAAGAATTAAGATTGGGATTCCACCATAGCTATGATTCTTTGTTTTTAACTCAGAATCTCCCTTTCTAATCAACTAGGAAGAACATAGCTCAATGCAGTTTCTCTCCCCTTTGGGAACTGACTCAAGGGCAGTACTAGTTTTCTAGGTTTGCCTAGAAAAGTACACAAAGTACACAAAGTACCACAGTTTAACAGAAAATTATATTCTCACAATTCTTGAGGCCATAAATCTGAGATAAAGGTATCAGCAAGGTTGGTCTCTTCTAAAAACTTTCTCCTTGGCTTATAGATGGCTTTCGTCTTCTGGTATATACAGATAGTCTTCCCTCTATGTGTATCTGTGGTCAAATTTCCTTTACTTATAGGGACACCAGTAATACTGGTTTAGAACCTACTTCTATGGGTCTTAATGACTTCATCTTAGCTTAATTTTCTCTTTAAAGGGTCCATGTTCAAATACAGTCACATTCTGAAGTACCAGGGGTTAGAGTTTCAACATATGAACGGGGGGGGGCAATTCAGCTTTCATATCTGCCCTAATAGATATTTGAAATCATATCTTTACTGTAGGTAAGTGTCTGTGGATAAAATTTAAGAGCTTTGAGAACATAAATAGGAGGAAATCACGCTTATTTTCATAACCATCAAGGTGAAATTTAGTATTCCCTTGCATAATGCTAAATGAAATAAATCAGACTCAGAAAGTTAAATATTGCATAGTTTCTCTTATATGAAAAACCCCAAATATAAATAATTTAAGGAGCAAAATAAAGATAGATGACATAAAACAAAGAGTTAGACGTTGTGGACATTTGAAAGGGATCTGGAGATGGAGGGAGATGGAAAAAAAGGGAGGGGGAAGAAGTAAAAGTATCAAGATTTTATATATATATTATATGATATATTATATAATGTATTACAAACATATACTAATAAAAATGAATTTAGGTAACAAAGCACAGTAGTATGAGGTGTATCACTGACTGTCATTTTTCAGTTGTTGCAGATATCCCACATATTGTTTATACTCATCATTATACTGATATTATGACAGTTCATGGACTCACATCTGAACCTGGGCATTTAGCGCATTAATAGAGGTATACTATTTCACTATATCACAAACTTGCTTCAAAGTATTTTCATAGTTGTATTTCAGCTTAACTGATTTTCTTTTAAATCATAATTTATTTTTCACCTTTAAAAATATAACTCTGAGAAGAGGATTCTTGGGCTTCATCATGTCAAAAGGGTTCCTGACACAAAAAGTTTTAAAACCCCTGTCTGACAGACCTAATTATAGATGATATCCCACTCAGAGATGAAACCAAGCCAACTGGGACAAGGCAGAATAAGTAGCCAATGATACTCTTGCATTAAGTCTTCACTAAAATATCTAATTTCTTTATAATCTGAGATCTCTACTGAGTATGTTGTGTCTCTCAAAACATAAACTTGCAGATCCATTTTATTTTACATTACTTTAATCAAACTTTAACTATGTCCTTTCTATGAGATCCACAACTTGGGCACTGCCTAACCTCTCCCCACCTTGTTCATAAGGTCTCTGGGTCCTGTCTTTGGGTTTCAGATATATCAGATAAGCATATTTGCTGAGGAGGACAATGACCTATGATTTTTCTGAAGAAAATGAATTTTTGTATTAGTTAATTTTCTTGTAACTGTAACAAAGTACCTGAAGCTAGGAACTTACAAATACAAAGATTTATTTAGCTCACAATTTTCGAGGCTGAAAGTCCAAACAGCACAGTGCTGGCTCTAGCAAGGGCCCCTCTGTTTACATCACTTTATGGCAGATGATATGACAGTGGTACATATATATGTTAGAGTGAGAGATCACAAAGAAAGAAAGAAGACAGAGAGACAAGGTAGGGGCCAGCCTAGCCACTTCCCACTAGGCCCCACCTCTACACCACTACAATGAGGACCAAGCTTTCAGTACATGAACCCTTGAGGGACAAATCACATACAGCAAGTGTTCCCCCTAAGAAAGGGATGGTATTAAGAGTAATGGGTATGAGGCCCCTTATAGATGTCTTGTTACCAGTTTGGCAGCCTGTACTTAGACAATATTTTTCCCTCTCTGACCCAATCTTGAAGTCTCTAACAAGTTTCTCCTATTCCAACTCCTGGCAACTGTATTTATGCACTTAGTATCCTGAACTCTGTGGAAAAGAAGATCCATATTTTGTGAGCTACTGAATCCTTCATCCTTTTGGGGCCCCCATTAAGGAAAAGGTTACAAGACTACACATAGAAAATTAGGCATAGGTTCTAAGGAGGAACCCATGCAATTAGGAGAATGTTACCATGGTGAGAGGGTCTGGGGAAAACTGGAGGACCTCTACAACCAGGGAAAATAGGGACCCAAGCTTCGCCACAAGGCCACCATCTTAAGAAGATTGTTTAATGTATCTAACATGAAAACGTATGAAAGGATTTTCTAAACTAAAAGGTGCTAAGAAAGTGTGAATTGTGCTTTTGTTATGCTCTAAGAAGTCTTCTCACAGAGATGTCTCTCTTTGCAGCTCCTTATCAGGCAAGTCCTCAGAAGAAAGAAGTGGCAGTACAAGCCATGGGCATTATCCTTTCCCCAAGACTAGAACATGCTGACAGTTACTGTATCTTCCTAAGTTGCAATCAGAATGGTCTGTACACTAATTTAATTAAAAGGAAGTAGAATAATAAAATGACTTTTAACTTAAAAATGCAAATATAGCAGTGTATTACAGTTTTCCTGAAAAGCACTTTGACAGAATGTTAAAAACTTAAAAGATGAACATGGTTACCTACCCTTAGGAAATGATTAGAGACTAAGGAATATTTCAGCAGGCTCATTTGCCATTTAAATAAGTGGAAAACTAAATGTACAATGTCTAATATTAGATGAATAAATAATTTATAGCAGGCTATAATAATTAGTGGATCCAGATAATAGGCTAATAAGGATTCATTAAAATTCTAAAATATTTCTTCAAATGAATGTATTTATGATACAATGTTATAAAAATTGTGTGCAGAATAAAACTTTAAATTTAAAAATAAGCACAGGACAAGGTTCCTAGTTATATGTAGATGTTGGTTATCTGAGTAATTGTTACTTCTGTATTCTTTTGTGTATTTTCTAATCTTTCCACAAGAGACATATAGCATTACCATAATTATAAAAATAATAATTTTAAAAATTGAAAGAATTTGACCTGAAATTGGAGATACCTATTATACATAAAAATTTTGGCTTCAAAATGAGAACTAAGATCATCTGTCATGTGAAGGTACAAGATCGCAATGATGAATGTAACTGTACTGTATACTTAAAAATTACCAATGAACTCAAGGTAAAAAAAAAAATTTGGTTTCAGATGTACTTCGGTAGCAGTATCAGTCAACTTTGCTGGCAAGTGACTGGGATCAGGTTTACTAGAATTTTAAAAAGTCCTGTGTCTGAGAGCAGTAGACAGTAACAGCTTAGTTTTATAAAGCAGTAAAAGGATGGGTAAATGGAGTCTGATTCTACCAGCCTGTCTGCCTTTAAAATTGTGTGCTATTTGTGTTAACTACTCATGCTTGCTTGACAGATCAAGGGGCACCCTGCAGATCCTCAGATGGCAAGAACTTGGATAGTAATTTAAATCCACAACAGATGGAAACTGCTGCCACAGAAGGTCACTCAAAATATTAGCTGCTTTATCTCCATAAAGCTACAGAGAGAGGAAAGAAGTTACAGGCCTTCCACAAGATAGTGCATTTGGTTTATTCCAGACCACTCCTCTCAGTATGCTCGAAAGGCAAAGCACATACAAGAGCAGATTTTCAATTAAATCTCTCACAAAAGACCATCGGGACCAATGTTGGAGAGTGACAGCAAGGCTGAAAGTTAAAGAAAAACATTGAATTGGGAGTTTTTATAAAGGTATAATATCTCAAAGCCCTACAGATACAAATGCATACCATCTAGTTCTCAGCAATTCTGAACCTTAAATGGTTCTGTATGAAATTTAAATGATAAAGTTCATAACATTGGTGGTAGAATATTCAAAGTGTTTAGATGTGTTCCTGTGAATTTCTTTACAGATGAGTTTTTCTTTTTAAGACTGAAAAGGGTACCAGCTTTGATAAATAAAAAGAAAAACTATTTCAGTATTGGAGTTAAAGTATCAAGGATATTTTCCAAATTTTAATAAGGTATTTGAATGTATGAATGGGATATTTTTAATGAGTAAAAAGTGATGAAGTCCTAGGATGTGAACTGAATTTAGAATACATGATAACAATTGGGCTCTAAGGATCATGGTTTATATTGCTTCCCCTGCCTCAAAAATATGCTTCACGATAGAGGGGTTATGGCAGTCATAATAATTAGGACCAGTTGAATAAGTAGTGGCATAGAAGTGAGTGGAAACAGAAATAATAATAAATCATTTAAAAATTTATAAATTCTTACTTAGAACTTAAAAACAATCTAATAATGATTTTGCTTTATATACTTAAAGAATGAGTTATTGAAAATAAACAAGTCTTTTATAAATAATGCTTATTTACTATACTTTTGAAACCACATCTGATACCTTGACATCTGTTGTCTGATCTTCTAGAGGGTCTTTAAAAATATAAGCTATTTCTGCCATAGATAAATTTTCAGAGTGAAAACTGTATAGAACTAAGAAATAAGTAACTAAAAGATTTTCTGCTTAAGCAAAAAGGACTATGCTTAAGCCTTAATACAACTATACAGACAATCTTGACTATACTCCACAGAGAATTCAAAAGCTGCAATTTCCAAACACATGGACCACTCCCTTGAATAAATCAAATGCAAAGCACTTGAAACTTTGGCCTGGACTTGATGGCTCAAGTAGTTTAAGTGTCATTTGTTTTCATGATGACAATAATGCAGAGGTTGAGCTGTGGACCTCTGCTATGAAGCAGAGTAAGAAATTAGGGAATTTCTAGATACATTCCATCTTTTTAGGTGTCAGTTCAGTGCAGTAAACATTTATGTGATGGCTAATTTTATGGGTTAACTTAATTGAGCTAAAAGATTCCCAAATAAATAGTAAAGCATTATTTCGAGATATGTCTGCAAGGGTGTCTCTGGCAGAGACTAGCATTTCAATCAGTAGACTGAGTAAAGAAAAATCCACTCTTAGCAATGTGGGGGTATCATCCATCAATTAAAAGCCTGAATAGAACATAGAGACAGAGAAAGAGGAAATTCTTGAGTTGGGTCAACCATCTTCTCTTGTCTGGTTCTTAGATCTTTGGCTTTGACCTGGAAGTTGTATCACCAGCTCCCTGGCTCTTGGGACTTTGGACTCAGTCAGAACTATATCACCAGTTTTCCTTGTTCTCTGCTTTTAAATGGTAGATCATAGGAGTCCTTGGCCTCTATAACTGTATGAGCTAGTATTCATAATAAATCTCCTCATTCATATCCTACTGGTTCTGTTTTTCTGGAAAACATGGGTTAAAATCATTTGTTTGGGTGCCTATTATATGCAAAACAATGAAAGACTGTGACAAATAAGACAGACTTTATCTCAACTTTTTATACTTCATAATGCTCAGCCTCAGTATCAACTTAGATATGTAACAAAAATAATGTCTCATTTGATAGTCACTGTCTTAATCCTCAACTTAAAATGTCACATGACTCAAACCCCTGTTCACAAATGATTAGACAACAGATGGACACAAGATCCAGGACCAATCAGTGAAATACTTGCTTAAGCATAAGACTTGAGAGTTTCAGTGTTGAATGCAATTACGGATGGTGGACAAATGAACCCAGAGGGCATCAAAACTAGAGTCAGCATCTTAGTAACTAACTCATAACTGCTTTCAAATATGTGTTCAGCTGTTACCGAGAACTATACATTTATACATAGAGTTAGCCAGTCTGTAGATGAAAGCAGGAAAATGGAGTAGCTGTCTACAGCAAAAACTGATACAGATTCTGGCACTCCAGAAGAAATAAAGGGTGTAATTTGGTCCATAATTTTCAGGTTTCAGTCACTGTGGGACTCAGGTCCTCTTTATCTTCCAACCTTGAAGAGTTGGTGAGAAGTGTATTAGGTCCTTTCAGAAAACTCCCCATTTTCTTGAGTCAGTTTGAGTGCATCTATATTTCTTGAGCAATGAGTCTTGCACAATATCTTAGGGCTAAGGCAGTTCTGGATGCCTACAGACTCCTTTGAGGATTAATATGTATTGGATCACTCTGGAATTGCAGAATTATAGGGGTTGCCTAGTGTTGGTCAGCTTTCCCATTGCTGGAACAAAATACATACATAAAATCTACAAACTAAGGAAGAGAGAGGTTTAATATGGATCATAGTTTCAGAGGTTTCATTCCATAGTCAGCTGGTTCTGAGGCAAACACATCATGCAGGACGTGGTGGGGGAAAACTGCTCAACTTACGTATGGCATTTAGGAAGCAAAGAGGACAAAAAGGGCCAGAGAGGAAGGAGACGGGGACCAAATATATTCCCCAAGCTCACACCCCAGAAATGTGCTTTGCTAAACTCTTAGGTGTCTATCAAAGGAATCAAGTTAACAATGAAGACTAAGCATCACAACTTGTATTGAAAAAAACAAAGTTAGAAAAACATCTGTTTTCCTTTGCCTAACTTATTGAGTCCTCTAGAATTAGGTCCCAAATTAATGATCTAATATTGCTTCCTACACATTGACTTCTCTAATTGGGTCACTCTCAAGAACTGTTATATCTAATTGTAGTGATGGGTTTTTCTCCCTTCTTTTCCATAACCTTTTTTTAACTTAAATAAAAAATTCCTTTATTTGAAGAACTCAAGTCCTACTTCTTTTTTAAAACTTTTATTAATTTTATTGGTAAATTTAATGTATACAATATAATAACATCCATTGTTGGAAATTTGTACCTTTACATAATCAATCTTAGTTCTTACTTTTCCCCATTCCCCTGCCCTCCTTTTTCTTCCTATTTCACATTATCTATTATACCTTTTACACTTTCTGTTTCTCACCATAGAGAAACTATTCAGTATTTACACATGTGTCTTATTTATAAAACTTAAGAGTATCACCTCAATATGCATCCATTTAGGTATAAATGTCTCTAATTTATCATTTTTATGGCTGAATAGTATTCCATTTTGTTTTTTAAAAAAACACATTTTCTTTATCCAGTCTCCAGTTGATGGGCATTTGGGCTGCTTCCAAGTTTTAGTTATTACAAATTATGCTGCTATGAACACAGGTGCACATATATAACTATGGTATGATTCTTTTAATTCTTTAGGGAAGATACCCAACAGGGGAATACCTGGATCCCTTGACTCTTCTGGGAAGTCTACTTCTTAGAAACTCCAATAGTGATGGTTATGATAATTATAGTAAAATGCCAATAATAATAATAATAATAATAATACCACATCATTTCCAGTTTCCAGAAATACTGATAATGTTACAGAGATTTCTGAGTTTTACTCCTCTCCTTAGCTTTTTATCAAAGCATATGTGTTTGGTGAAAGCTGAAGAGAGGGTTTATTCTTGAGAACCCTGTCTTCACATTTAATATTGAAACAGGCAGAGAAAGCAAAGTAATCTATTGAGTGATAAAGTCACTTAAGCATAATGAATATGCTAAGACCATACACATTAGATTTTATATAGTCTCGTTTTTATGAACATTATTTCCTTTAATCCTCACAGCAACACTATTAAATAAGAAGCTCATTTTGAATTTGAAAAAACACTCAGAGAAATTCAAAATATTATATAAGCTTGTATATCTGATTTATTTCACTTAACATTATGGTCTCAAGGTGCATCTATCTTCTTACAAATGATTCAGATCTATCCTTCTTCATGGCACAGTAGGACTCTCTGGTATGTAAATACCATATTTTATTTATCTGTTCATCTGTTGATGGATATATAGGCCGCTTCCAAGATTTAGCTATTATTTGTTCTGCTAAAAACATGGGAATGCATGCATCTCTGTAATATGATGTCTTTAACTCTTTCAGGGTGATACCTAGAAAGGGACTAGCTGAGCCAAATGGAATTTTTAGTTTTATGGGGAATCTTTATACTTATTTCCATATCAGTTGTATTAGTTTACATTCTCTAAAAAATACAGAGGATGGAGGAAGTAGGGAGGTGGGAGGGGAGGAAAGGAAATGGAAAAATAATTAAACTGTGTTATGTACACGTTCCAATTTCCTACAGGGAATATAATCATTACATACTGTAGATATGGACTAATAAAACGTTTTGAAGAATTAAAAACTAGTATTCTAAGCTACACAGAGCATATGTAGTACTGTCAAGATTAAAACCTAAATCCTATGCCTACAGTGTCTTGATTTCTAAGCATTAGACTACTCTCAGGTCCTGAGGATCAGAACGCCAATCTTATTCTTTTGGGTATAGTGATCACAGAAGAGTTCAATAAGTAGAAACGAAGTTACCTTAAAAACATTTATTCTAATAGGTGGCCTATAAAGGAATACTGGAATAAGTAGCCAAAATAGTAACTGCCTTTCTTTTTTGGCTTCTGATGAAAAGGAAAATTATGTCTTCCTGTGAAATCACAAAGTTTTAAAAAGTTAATTAGCTTTGTGTTAATATTTTGATGCACCTCTGTACTTCTTTTTATTTTTAAATAAGTTTACTGGTACAATATATATAATATATAATTACTACATTCATCATATGAAATTTATACCTATACAAAATATACATTCTTATTTTTTCCCATTACTCTCCCCTTGCTTCAACCCTTCTACTTATCTACAAAAGCTTTGTTTCTATCTTTTCTCATTTTTTTTCCCTATTCCCTTTCCTCTTTTCCCCTTTCCCCCTCTAGTGCCTCTTCCCATTTGAATTTTTTCTTCCTATTTCACATTACCTATTATATATTTTGGTCCTTTTTTACACTTTTAGTTTTTCACAACAGATAAGCAAGGCAATATTTATGCATGATTTGCAATTTATTTCACTTGAGTACTCTCTCTAGGTGCATCCATTT